CCGATGCTCTATCCACTGAGCCAAACCAGCCAGGGCTAAGCAGTTATTTTTGAATGTCCTAGTCTTTAGTGCCTGGATCTCCAAATGAGGAAAATGATGGGGGTGAGGGCATGCCAGACTTCTAAATCCCCTGGTATCACCTCAGTCATAAGGGCAGTGGCTTGCAGCAAAGGGTGAGTGCAACAATGGCTGTCTACCTTTTGTCTGCACTTCTATCACCAGAGTCAGCAATAAAAGCACAGCTTGCTGTATTGGAGAATAGGGTCCTTTGTTCCAATACAGGTATCCTGGTTCATTTCTGGTGCTTCCTGCCCTACCATCTCCCCACAATAATCTTAAACATCACTCTAAATCTAGTCTCTATCACTTGAAATAGTCCTAAATTTCTACATAAATTTGAATTTCTATTCTAGGATTTGATTTTCAGGCACTTAGGACAATTTTTAATTGCTGTACAGCTTGATATATTTAACTGATAAGGGGAAGTTACCCTCATTGCTCCTTCACAATTTTCCTGGATTATTTTGTGTGTTTTTTCTCCCAATCTGAACTTCATCGACCTATGAACCACTAGGTCATGGTTTGATTCCTGGTCAGGATATATGCCCAGGTTGTGGGATTGATCCCCAGTAGGGGGCATGCAGGAGGCAGCTGATCAATGATTCTCATCATTGATGTTCCTATCTCTTCTCCCTTCCTCTCTGAAAACAATAAAAATAAAAAAAATAAAGAATAGACCATGATATAGAGACTTCAGTCCAAAAACATGGGTTTATGCCTTCCTATTTGTTCAAATTATATTTTGTCTCTTATCAAGCTTTCAACTTTTTATCATTTAGGTTCTTTACATTTTAAAAGGTTCATCTCCTAGAGCAGTGATGGCGAACCTATGACACCCGTGTCAGAGGTGACACGCAAACTCATTTTTTTTTTGGTTGATTTTTCTTTGTTAAATGGCATTTAAATATATAAAATAAATATCAAAAATATAAATCTTTGTTTTACTATGGTTGCAAATATCAAAAAATTTCTATATGTGACATGGCACCAGAGTTAAGTTAGGGTTTTTCAAAATGCCAAACTCAAAAGGTTTGCCATCACTGTCCTAGAGGTTACAAGATCTTTGTTATATTTTCTAAGTAGATGCAGATAAGAAAGCTGTTGATTCCAGCTATCTTGTTTAATTCTGAGAACAGCTCTTAGATCATTGTATTGATGTATCTGAAAAAATATTAATTTTGACTCCTCTATTTTTATATCTTTCTCCTTATTCGTTTTGTTGTTAGTCCTCACCCAAAGATATTTTTCCATTGATGTTTAGAGAGAGTGGGAGGAGGGGGGAGACAGATAGAAACATTTATGAGAGACAAATAGATTGGTTGCCTCCTGCACATTCCCTGACCAGGGCTGGGGATTGTGCCTACAACCAAGGTGCATGCCCTTGACTGGAATTGAACACAGGACACCCAGACCCTTCCGTTCACAGGCTGATGCTCTATTCACTGAGTTAAACTAGATAGGGCTCCCTTATTCTTATCTGCTTTACCCAGTATCCCCAAAATCTATCTATATAATCTATATATATAAAAGGCTAATATGCAGTGTCCCTGTGGGAGTTTGACTGGGAGTTCAATGCTCCCTATGACATGTGCTGACCACCAGGGGGCAGCACAAAACAAATCACAGGCTGATGCTCTATTCACTGAGTTAAACTAGATAGGGCTCCCTTATTCTTATCTGCTTTACCCAGTATCCCCAAAATCTATCTATATAATCTATATATATAAAAGGCTAATATGCAGTGTCCCTGTGGGAGTTTGACTGGGAGTTCAATGCTCACTATGACATGTGCTGACCACCAGGGGGCAGCACAGAACAAAGGAAGGCCCTGGCCGGCAGCTGGGGAAGGGAGGCCACGGCCAGCAGCCAGAAGCCCCTGATCACCAGCCAGGCATACAGACCCTACCCGTGCATGAATTTCGTGCACTGGGCCTCTAGTATTAAATAATTGTGGTGAGTAAACATCTGTCTCAATCCTAAGGAATATGTCCAATATTTGATCTAGAATGTTAGTTTTCCTTTAACAAAGACTCCATTTAATCCTATTTTGAGAACTTGTACCTGGAATGAACTGTAGATTTTTGATCCCCAGGATGTTTGGGGGGTTTTTCCCCCATAGTGTGAGCTGTTAATGGACACTGTGATATCACCCTGGCATTTCCGTTTTAGTGGTGGTTTAGTATTATGGTAGTATCAAACATGCTGCTGGAATCCACTATTAAGATTTTTATTCGTACCACGCTGCCTTTGTCATAAGAATTTGGAGGCTTGTTACACATTTAAGTTATCCTTGTTGTTTATGTCTTAAAGGTTTGATATAATTCAACTGTGTTACCTGAGCCTTTTCTAAGAATTGGTCTGTTGCAACTTTTTTCTAGCCAGTTTTAATGATTCATATTTTGCTTATAAATTGTCTAATTCCCCTGTAGTGTTTCCCACTTTGCACATCTATTTGGGATTTGTGCCATTTTCCTTCATTGGCATATTTTATTTTACATTCATGTTTATCTCAATTTTTGTTAATTATTTCCTCCTATATTTATGTTTAATTTTCTAGCTGTTTGAACTCAATGTTCAATTCATCCCTCTCCGAGGTTAGGCTTAAGAACCTGTGTTTTGCTGTAAGGCTGTGCTGTTTCTGCTGCACCACAAGGGTTTCCCCTTTGTAATGTGCTAATAATAATAGCTGGACATACTCCAGAGTAACTTTAGTGCTTTACTCCTTTCAGGCTTGTGTATGCTAACAATTAGCACCAAGAGCATAGTCTACAATCAGCCTGTTACACTATGCTACCATACTGGATGGTTGTCTTTTTTGGCAGTTGGTGTGGGGAAGTAGACCATCTAAACCAGTGGTTCTCAACCTTCTGGCCCTTTAAATGCAGTTCCTCATGTTGTGACCCAACCATAAAATTATTTCCGTTGCTACTTCATAACTGTAATGTTGCTACTGTTATGAATCGTAATGTGAATATCTGATATGCAGGATGGTCTTAGGCAACCCATGTGAAAGGGTTTCGACCGCAAAAGGGATCGCAACCCACAGGTTGAGAACCACTGATCTAAACCTTCAAATAGTGGTGGCTATTGCCCCAAAATACAATATGGCAAATTCCACATCTTGCCCAACTCAGCTTACTTTTTCATAACCCTCTGGGGTTGCACTGCCCAATAAGGTCACCACATGGGGCTACTGAGCACTTTAATTGTGGCTATTTCAAATTGAGAATGTTGTATGTGTAACATACCAGATTTTGAAAACTTAAGAAAATGTGAAATTTTTTATTACATGTTAATGTCTTAGTTGTAGTGGGCTAAATAAAATATTAAGTTTAATTGGTTTCTTTTTACTACCGCCATGTCAGTTTTGCCTATGTGCTGGGCAGTGCTGCTCTCAGGAGTCCCGCCCACTTACTGATTGACGCACAAGGCTCCACACAGACAGCACTGTCTTCCTATAGCCAGCTGAAGACAGCAGCATCATGATGCCAGGTTAGTGTTAACATTTATTTAAAAATACACAAAATAGAAATTTTTTACATCAAAGTGTGATAACCTCACTTATACACTGTTCCATACTTACCTGATTTTGTTTGCATCCTTATGCAAACATTAAGAATAGATGGATTTGATTCTGGTTTTTTGCTATGGTTCATGTAAACAGTTGAGACTGCTACATAAAGAAGGTTGTTTTACAAGGTAAAGTGGCCATAGAAACCTAACAGTAAAACAATTCAATTTGGTTTGTTTAATGAAATTGGCAGAAGTCTTAGCAGATAGATCATCAAAGACTAAATATTGGCTTCTAGGCATTTTAAATATTAAAAACCTTGAGGTTTTTTTATCTTGTAAACATAACTTAGACCTTGTTGGCATTAAGTTTGAAAAGTAGAATATTAAACCATGATTTTCATCATCCTGCCCATGTCAGAATACACTCTACTATGAGAATGAAACCAAATAACCAAAATAAACCAGGCTTTTCAAATTGTACTGCAAAGAAGGTTCTGATGGTCTCTTCTGGGAGCGATGCAACTGAAGGTGATCCTAGCATTGGCTGAATGCCATCCCCTCGTCCCCTGGACGGTGCGATGCCATAGGCCTCGAGATGGTCAGTCCCTCTTGCTCTGTGTCTTCTGAAGCAACCGAGACTCTACTTCCACCTCTGCTGGCTCTGCTGTCCTTCCCGGGGCTGAGATTCACCAGGGTAGTGGCTTGTGACAACTGTCAAGACTGTACTGTCCCTTTAAGGTACCACATGCCACCATAGCTTACGCAGCAGTCCTATGAAGAGGGAAACGTGTTAAGGGCAGGTTGTCTTTTTCAATCGGGAGGGAGTCACAAGCTCCCCATAGCCCCGACTCAAACAGGGAGAAACTGGACTGTCTGGCATCGGTCAGAACTCGAGGGCGGCTTTCTCTCAGAGGTGCTTGCATCGATTACCACGGGCCACTGAGACCCAGGACCTCTTAGGGCAGGACTGAGGATCAGCCATAGCTGTTTGTTCCGCCCTGCTGATTCCCTGAGACCCCGCCCCACCCAAGCTGTGCACAGAGGCTTTTGCATTTGAATGACCTGGCCCTTTGCAATCTGAAAATTACCGAACAAACTGCAGCTGGGTCAGAGAAACCCGGAACTTCCAAAAGAAGGCCCAAAGCCCCACAGCAGCTTACATTGCTTCACAGCTGGGCCTCATCTGGGCACCTCCAAATCCCAAACAAAGAAGAGGAACCTGCAGATCTCTCCATAGCTCCTGCTGGGTAGCCTCAGGCAGAGGCTAAATTAGCACCTCCTTAGAGTTCCAAGAGCCAGTGTACCCAGTGGTCAGAGTGGGACCATCCAGATTACAACTCCTCAGATCCATAAGGGACACACTAGCAGAGCCTCTGGGCACGGGACTGAGGGCAGCCATAACCGCTCCCTCTGCCCACCCTGTTGGTCCCGCCCCGCCCAAGCCCTGCGCAGAGCCATTTGCCGGATCGCCTCAGGCAAAGGCTAGATTAGCACCTCCCCAGAGGACAGAAGTTTTCCGCGGCAGACACAGCTGATTCACACAGCCAGTCGGCCTGGTGGTCAAATCCCTCTAGTATTAACTACAACAATCAAGGCTCAACTAGAACAAGACTGCGCACAAAGACCACTAGGGGGTGCACCAAGAAAGCATAAAAAATGCGGAGACAAAAAAACATGACAGAAATGGAGGATATAGAGCTAAAAATCGCAATTTTGAGGGCTTGCAAAAATGTGCTAGAAGCTGTCAATAAACTTGAGGAGAGAGTCACGAAAACTAATGAGACCCTCGATGCTATGATAAAGAACCAACTTGAAATTAAGCATACACGGACTGAAATAAAGAATATTATACAGACTCCCAACAGCAGACCAGAGGATCGCAAGAATCAAGTCAAAGATTTGAAATGCGAAGAAGCAAAAAACACCCAACCGGAAAAGCAAAATGAAAAAAGAATCCAAAAATACGAAGATAGTGTAAGGAGCCTCTGGGACAACTTCAAGCGTACCAACATCAGAATTATAGGGGTACCAGAAGAAGAGAGAGGGCAAGATATTGAAAACCTATTTGAAGAAATAATGACAGAAAACTTCCCCTACCTGGTGAAAGAAATAGACTTCCAAGTCCAGGAAGCGCAGAGAACCCCAAACAAAAGGAATCCAAAGAGGACCACACCAAGACACATCATAATTAAAATGCCAAGAGCAAAAGACAAAGAGAGAATCTTAAAAGCAGCAAGAGAAAAAAAGTCAGTTACCTATAAGGGAGTACCCATACGACTGTCAGCTGATTTCTCAACAGAAACTTTGCAGGCCAGAAGGGAGTGGCAAGAAATATTCAAAGTGATGAATAGCAAGAACCTACAACCAAGATTACTTTATCCAGCAAAGCTATCATTCAGAATTGAAGGTCAGATAAAGAGCTTCACAGATAAGGAAAAGCTAAAGGAGTTCATCACCACCAAACCAGTATTATATGAAATGCTGAAAGGTATCCTTTAAGAAGAGGAAGAAGAAGAAAAAGGTAAAGATACAAATTATGAACAACAAATACACATCTATCAACAAGTGAATCTAAAAATCAAGTGAATAAAAAATCTGATGAACAGAATAAACTGGTGAATATAATAGAATCAGGGGCATAGAAAGGGAGTGGACTGACAATTCTTGGGGGAAAGGGGTGTGGGGGGTGCGGCAAGAGACTGGACAATAATCGTGCACCTATGGATGAGGACAGTGGGGTGGGTTGGTAAGGTCAGAGTGTGGGGTGGGAACCGGGTGGAGGGGAGCTATAGGAGGAAAAAAGAGGAACAACTGTAATAATCTGAACAATAAAGATTAAAAAAAAAAAAGAGTATGTGGCTACGGCAAATATCATGCCAGAGGTACAGGATTGAAAGGGGGAGCAGAGTCAGGACTCTGAAGATGACCCACTTTTTGAAGGTGGAGCCTATACCTTACTCAGTTCAGTCCTTCAGCACAGACCACACCAATGTCAGTCATTTATCTGTTGCCAAGGACCTGATTTAACATTCACCAAGTGGCAGGAAGACAGCCGACTGGAGCCCGCCTCCATCTACATAGGGCACCCTCGTTCTTAAGCTCATGGTCAGAGCAGAAGCCTCTGGATGTTGTTATACACAACACAGACATACCTTTAGCACTTTATCCACCTCCTGTTTACTGAGATCTTCTCCACACTCTTGAGTCAGCCGAGACTGGATCATGTTCCGGCGTACTCGGTAATTTTTGGAGAAAATTTCAAGCAAAACCTGTCGATGCTTTAATAGCAAAAACATGTTATTATGGGAAGCAATAGATTAAAAGAGAAACATCCCCAAACCAGGAATCCAAAGCTATGACCCTCGCTCCACCCTCTAGTCTATGATCAAATCCTTGCTCACGGACTCTGGTGAAAGATGAACATGTTGGCAACTGGTGCTCTCAGACCCCAATAGAATGAAGACTCAAAATAAAGGTAGATGCCCAAGAGAGCTGGTGAAAAGCCGGCAGAGCATAAGCCGTTAAGACATATTGATGCATAATAAGCAGGAGTGGGAGCTGATTTGGCAGGTGGGGAAAGCGCCATCTGAAGTACATGAAGGCAGAGGAAGGGTGAGGAATAAGTGGCTGAAAGTGCTGGCACACAGACATGACATGGCATCTAGAAACAGGATGACCGGAAAGCATTACATCCCAAAATAAAAACCAAATAGAAGAGAAGTGGAATGTCACTGAACAACAACTCTGAAAGCTGGAATGCAATGGAAAATGTCTTACATTCCGAGGGAAAATGATTTGCCCTCTAACATTCCAGCCCCAGACAGACAATACTACTTGAGGACCACAGAGCCACTTTAAGGCATGACAGAACACAGACAACACCCTGCCCCTGGGAAGCCAAAATGAATCGAGGAGGAAGACACAAGATTCCATAAGCCAGTCCCGCTGGAAAGGCCCTCCGGGAATCACGCAACATTGGTATTACCGTTGGTATCTGTGTTAGGAAACCATGCAAATGGAAACAGGAAGTAGCATAAAAAATACAGTCACAGCATAATGCTGACGTTTGGCTCTACAATGAACACATTTGCAGACACGATGCTGGAAGCACTGACACCTGACTTAGCCACATTTTCCCAGCCCCTGACCATGTCGAGTTGATACATCCAACAGCAGTGCAAGTGCATTTTGAGGTACTCTTTTGGCAGTTAAACAAGTGATAGCCCCTGCAGATAACTACCCCAATTGCTGGTAGTCAAGGAGGAGTGGCTCCAAATCGGGTCGGGCATAAAGCTCAGTCTTACTGGATTTTATAACATATGCACTTACTACTTTATCAGAGTATTTCAGGAGTAACAAACTCAGAGACCACCTGCCTATTCTGTTCAAAGCACAGAAGGTTGCTCAGGGAGATCATTCCAGACTGCTCCCCAACCACAGCCCATCAGAGCCCCCCGTTTTATATCCTGCCTGCCTGCCAGCCAGCCCCCTTCTAAGAGGCAGAAGGGAGCCAAGAACTCAGTGGGGGCTCTTCCTCACTCCCTTCCCCCGACACCTGTGGTGTGAGCAATGAAACCTTAAAGTGCAGGCAGGTTCCTGGGAACGTCGGGGGTCCATGGCTGTACAGACTGGTTTCATTCATGTCTGGTCACCGGACCCCCATGACTGGAGGTGTGACGAGAGGAAAACGACCAATTTCTCTTAGAACCCAGCACCCAAGACCAGGAAGGCATCCTTGTGATGCCTGCTGCCAGAGGCCCGAGCGACGGGTCCATCCCCGGCCTGCCAGCCAGCGGACGTCAGACCCTCCAGAAAGCTGTGTAGCCGTGTATGCTCCAGGACACGGCCCGTCCCCGATGAGCTGACTCGACGTTTCCAGGCCACTCCCATGCAGCTGGCCCTCAGACTGGCACCCCCAGCCTGTCTGACAGCAGCAGGCTGTTTAGATTGGGAGGAGCTGGAAAACCTGAACTGTGATGCACGCGCAGCAGCAAAGGTCGCCTCACCTGATCACTCATGTCTCCAGACTCCCAGAGGGCGAACACCTTCTGCTCATCCGGGGAAGCGGCCGTCTGTGGGGGAAACTAACCGAGGCCCAGGTGTGAGCTGGTGGCTTGTCTCCACCATGGGGACCCTCCCCGCTGGCACGAGTCCGGTTCTTGGGGAGGAGGCCAGCCACCCCCTTCAGGGCCTTGGGGGCTGCAATGGCAGTGGGGAAGCGGCTTTTTCCCACTAGCCTGGCATTAGCTCACTCTGCTCTCCCATCAGCCTCTCCTTCCCTGAATACCAGCCCTCGGATGTGTCCTGAGAAGCCTCCCCACACAACTCCCTGGGCACATGCCCGCCTCAGTCCCTTCCTCAAGGCTGTAGCAGGGATGGGGTCTAGAGGTGACCCAGGCTCTGGGTACCTGGAGAAGGGGAGGCAAGGAAGGTGGCACCTGGCACAGTTGGTACTACCCCGTAAAGCCCCGGGCAGGGCTGTAAATACAGTCTCACTGATCTCATTAGAGACCAGAGGCAGTGAGGTGTGCGCCCCCCTCTCCATGAGGAAAAGCAGCTCAGAGGTTTACTCCTGCCTGAGGTCACATGGCTAAACTCAACTGTGCAAGTCCACTCACGTAAACCCACGAGGCTGGACAGACCTGAGGTCTCTCCCCCCTCAGACGTGACTGTGACCTGGGCCCCTTGTCAG